TCAACCCACAGCACCACCATGTCCGTAACAACCCTCTAAGTCATCTTAAAGCCCCGCCCACCCAGGAGGAGGGCCCTGGGTCGATTCTTGACCCTTTGTCCCGCCTTGCAGGGGTGGCACACCTGTCAAAAGTGATTTTGATGAATGCTAGGTAGTATCACTACTGAAGAAATATAAGGATTGGCTGAAATCTTGTTGTGCAGTTATGCAAACAGCATAACCTTTGGAAGCAAACTGCCATAAGTTAAGAAATCTCGGTAGCCAGTATTTGCTGCATACTGAGTCACACAACTTTGTATGCAAAATAAGGTCTAACGTATGGCATTTCACATCTAGAAGTTACACCGTTTGAGTAACTGTGCAACAAGATTTCAACCATTTTATACGCATCACATCATAACTACAGTTACTAACACAATTCAACTAGTCATCCATTTTGGAAGAGCAATTGTTTGTGTTTTGAGCCCGGCTATCCAGTCCCTAAGCCCCTTAATGGTTTATAACAAATGTCCTTTATCAGCATGTAGACACAGGGATGCTTCTCAGTTTTGAAATTGGGCACCACAGAGCTTCACAAATAGTCTGGGCAAGGGTGGGAAGCCTCCATGGATTTCCATGGCATTTGTTACAGTAAGTAACTATAGTACTTATAGTAAGTAGCAAGTCTTTCCACATGCAGACACTATGATATCTACAGTACTTGTATTAAACAGAACCACCACCACCCCAAAAACAAAAGGAGGAGAAGTAGTGAGGGCAAGATTCATACTGAATTCAAAGAGAGTGTTCACTTCCATACATTTAAGACTGTTTCTTTTTCAAAACATTTTATTTTCAAAAAGCGAGTTATGTATTCAGACACTAAAAAGACAAGGAAAGAGAAAGATGATCACATTCTCTGCATAGTTATCTGAAAAATACACAAAATCTTTTGGGGGAATTTATGTGCACGAGTGTTTTAAAACGGTAACAGGAGAAGACACCCATATACAGATTTGTTTAAATATCATTCAAGCAATGCTGGGGCTTCAGTCTAACAAATTCCTCTATTGTGGGCTCTTAAAAAAAGAAGTGACTATAAAGAAGGAGAATGAACGGCAATACAGGAAGCTTTTTTAATGCACCCTTCAGTTCACAAATTCATTGCAAAAATCAACAAAGCTACAATCAGTCTAAGAACTGATTGAAGAAACATCTTCTCCTCCTCTGTGCCAGTTTCATGCATGAAAAGAAGAAAGGTGGGGAATCTTGATCCAATTTTTCTTTCAAAAATGTCTCCTTGACAAAGAATAGCAAGTCTGAAGTACATTGTTCATTTAAGTTAGTATTTGTTATTATTGCTATACCAAACGAGAAATCTATGATTTTAAACCAGCCTATTTGCTTTGATTTTTTAAAAATGTACATACTGGGGGAGGGGGGAAAAGGAATTTTTATACATTAATATCTATCTATCTACATGTACACACTCCCAGAATGTAGCTTTTCTCCCAACTTTGTATATGTTCCCATTTTCTATTTGTCAGGAAGTTGCTTCTTCTTAGTGGCAGACATTTAAAAATAAAGCACACGTGTTACACAAGAGTCATTGGCACAAAACAGCAATACTTTCTTTTCCCTTCAGCAAAAAGGGCTTCCCCCCACATTTAACTAAACGGCAGTAATCACAAAAGTGGCATCTCCCTGCAGAGAAGGATTCTAACCCTGCCACCTTGAAAACAACTGTTCTACCTTGTACAAAAGAACCCTGAAGAAATATGACAATACAGTTGCAAGTCCTGCTTACAAATGAAAAGTGTTGTGTGTGTGTGTGTTTTTTTTAAAAAAGGCAGCAATGTCACACAGTCGGGAAATGGCTCAATTACAGATTTAATATGAAAACTACAACACGTTTTGTGTCACCTTAAAGACTAAGAAGCTTTATTTGCCTTATGCTTTCATGGAAGAGTTGAGCTACAGTTCACAAAAGCTTAAGCCAAATAAAACTTAACTAGGCTTTAAGGTGCCACAAAACGTCTTGTTGCTTTTGCTATGACAGCCTGACACAGCTACTCTTTTGGGAGATTTAAGAGAGTAGCCTCTTGAGCCAAATACTTCTGGCAGAGGTGGTAAACCTGCATCTGAAGTCTATGCAGTAGGTACTCAAATGAGTGAAATGCTCCTCCATCTGCCCTCTGTGACAATTTATAATAGTTACTTTTTTGGACTTTAACTCATGGAATTATAATCCGGGAAGGGAACACCTCAAGGCTATGCACTCTGCACATTAAGGACTTAAGATACCAGAAAGAATGGTTTCAGCAGTTTCAGCCTCCCTGCCTTTGCCAGTCCTTTTTTGTCACAGGAGTGAGGAGCCTTTGACTGTGAGTCCTCGCCTGAATGCAGAAGTGTTGTCACTCAGCCTTACTCACAGGTTTACCCACCTTACTTATCATTTGGTAAGTTGAAAAAACAAGCATTCATTGAACAAGACTCTAGGGAGGCTTTTGAAATATAAAACAATGTCCTTTGCCCACAAGGGCTAATTATCAGTCCACACTGGTTTTCAAGTAACCTTGCTTTAATATAGGAAGGTACTAAAAGGAAATCAGATTGATGCTGGCACATTGAAATAGTGAAAAACAGTAGAAGAAAATCATTCTCATCCCAGCAGTGGAAGAAGAGATACAACAAGGGGACAGTTCAGCTTGGAGAAGAGGAGAAACGAAACTGAAGGTTCAGAGGTTTGGGAAGGCACAGACTCCTTCATCCCCAGATTAGCTTCTTTCCCATTTGATGTGATTTGTAGCCCAAGAGGGCCATAGGGGACAACCCTGGATTTCAAAGGGGCTCCGAATTTGAATTCAAGACACCAGAAGAAAAGCAGATTTTTAAAAGCCAACATTTAGTCTCATGGTTATGCGGGCGGGAGAAATATATAAGGCATATTATAATGAGTAATGCAGAAGAGATACAGAAAGGCAAGGAAGAGCTGCTGACCACTGATGCTGCTCCCACAATGCACCATACCATGGCTGCATTGGAGAAAGGAGGCCAGACCCTGTTCCCAATATAATAAAAGTTAGAGGTTCTGCAGGAAGAGAGGATTTTGGCATGTACAAGAAGCAGCTGTGAACTATATTAGTCACGGGGCTCTTTCCTAGCCCATTGTTCTGTCTATGACAACCCATGGTTAAAATGGGAAGCTATTGCTGCAATTGAGCATTTGATGGTTACAGGCATAAGAAGTTGCTTTGTATTGAATGAGACCACTGGCCCATCTAGCCCAGTACTCTCAACTCTGACCAGCAGCAGCAACAGGTCTCTAGGGTTCAGGCCATAGGTAGACAGAAGCCATACCTGAACATTTCTGCCGTTCTCCCATCCAAATAGTAACTGGGACCAATCTTGGTCAGCTTCTAAAATCAGACAGAAATTGGTGTATGCAGAGATGGTATGGTGACTCTGAGGTACTTGTAAGGTAGGCATTTGGCTCAGTAACCTTAAGAAGCACATTTCATTCTCAGTATCAGAAAAATGTAAATCTAAACTACTTGGGGAAGGAACTTGTGCAAACTATGAGAACTCCACCCTGTTTCAGGTCTTCCCTCGTGTAAACAGGCATGGTTCTAGGACCTAGTAGGAGGGAAGCATATAAAATCTTCTAAATTCAGACCATTTTTGGTGCCTTCTCAGCTGAGCTGCTGCTTCTCTGGTGGAAACCATCTCTTTGTGAAGTCAGATAGTGTTTGAGGCTGTAACTGGAGCACTGATGGAGGTTCTGTGTTCCAGCTACTTCAATGCAGGAATCACATACATCTTCCTCTCTCACCTCTCCACGTTGTGACCTTTCTGAGAAGGCTGCCACATACCTCTTCATTCTAACGTTGAGCTAACAGCACAAAGCACTTACGACTTGTATGTAAGAGATGATGATGGGAAAAGGATGAAGTGACATAGTCAGTAAGCTCTTGGAAATAAGAGCTGTACTCTGAGAGAGTCCCAGTCCTGACTTAAGTTGGTTCTGATCAGATCGATGTAAAACATTTCTGCCCTTGGAAGTTTTTTTTTTCCTTTCTGTTTGGCACATCAGGGAATGTTGAAAATTTAGACATGAAAAATACAATGATGAAGAGATGACAAGCCAACAACAATGAATTCCATCTAAATACATTTGCAACAAACATTCTTATCACTGTAAAAATCACATGCACGTAAGTCAACATCAAAAGCCATCGAGCAACAATAACTCAGATGACTTAAGGGCTATGTACAAAAAACCCCACCGGTCTATTTTACAACTGGTAAGAAATTTGTCAAATAAAAAGAAGCTGGTGCACTGCAGAAGGGTTTTCTGTACTGCCCTGGTAGTTACCATTGCAACAAATGGCGGATCTGTTTACATATGGCTTGTGTTGCTATTCCTGCTTGGACTGAAAAAAGAGAAATTCATACATGTCCTTTGTAAGAGGTGGTAGACCACATCAGAAAAGATTACTAGACTGACTTCCTTAACATTTCTCAGGAAATGTACATACGTTTAATTTTGCAAGGCCAGTAAGGCTGCTTCCAAACTCTGCCCCAAAGCCACCTTCAGCTCCCATACTCTATAGGAAAATGGGTGTTTCTAGGATTGTAGCCCTGGGTCTCCAGCAATGATTCCTCTATTTTTTTGGCATTGCTGGGCAGGAACCTCACCCTGTAAGCGTGTGCAGGGCTCCATCCAAAACCAAAACAAAAAGAGCAAAAACAGTGGCTGCCGGTGCACAGTTCCCAAAGGAGCTCTGTGTGCACGCAGCTTACAAGGAACGTTGGTCTCTCAAGTCTTATTAAATTATCCTAAGTCCCACAGACAGCTATGGATGAAGTCATAACTAACAAGTATTGTGCATTTTAACAGGATTTGGAAAAGACCACTAGCTTTGTGTGGACTAGGGACCAGTGTTATCTAGGCCAGTGGTCCTCAACCTTGGGCCTCCAGATGTTCTTGGGCTTCAACTCCCAGAAATCCTGGCCAGCAGAGGTGGTGGTGAAGGCTTCTGGGGGTTGTAGTCCAAGAACATCTGGAGGCCCAAGGTTGGGGACCACTGATCTAGGCAACACTTTCACCCATCTGCTTGAGTCAGATCAAGCCAAGTGTGAATAACTTGAGTTCAGACCTAGTCAGATGTTGCTCTGCACATTTGGGGGTACACAGTGCCATGCGCTTGCCTTTGAAAAATATTTTGACAGCAATCCAGGAATATCAAAATATGGCATCAGAGCTTCAAAAAGTATGTCCTTGGGCTATAAAAAGGAGGATTCCAAGACTTACAGCCCACAAAACTAACTCTTAGACGTTTTGCACTGCAGTAGTGAGAACCTTCCAGATTAAGATGTTGCAGTGACCTAATCTACTGAAAAATAATTCTTTACCAGCGGCACTTCTGAGAAGCAGCCTTTTCCATTCCTTTGAGGCATGTGCTGAGGCTACAAATCTGGGATGCATAGCTCTGTCTTGTAAAGTTGCCCTAGTTAATTCAGTTCTTATGCCAGCTTCTGGAATGTATCTCAGGTCCCTCCTAGTATGCTGCATACCATCGCACCATCTGCCTATCCACCCTCAGGGTGAAAACTCTTTGGCTTCCCAACTCCAATATAACAGGTATGCTGTCAGCCAAGGGAACTGCTATTTTCAGCATTTTCACTCCCTGGGTAAAGGTTGCTGAGTAAGGTTGCTATAACACCAACTGCTGATGGGACTGCAAGCTGGTGGCTATGTCTCCAGGTTGTTCATTTTTTTCCCCTTTCCTAAAACGGAGACAGTTTGGCATGCAGCAAAAAAGCAATGCCTCCAAGAGTCTTGATTCTAGGGGCATTCTTCCCACAGTGCATATATGGCCAACTTAATGTCTGCTATACTGTATATGCAGAAGCTCAATTAAAAGCTACAGTCAGCTGCTGTCAAAACAGCTTCTAATGCACAGCAAAATGGCTTTGAGCCTGGATATATGTTCCAGAATTTCTGGAAAGTAGCAAGTGATTGAAAAAGGTATTGCACAGACCTGATCCAACAGAAGCCTGTGCACCCACAAGGAAGGACTTTAAAGCACAAACTATACATGGCATGTAGTTGTGTGAATCTCTAATAATTTCTTTGTTTAATCTGAAATCTGCCTCCCATGCTGTTAGTATTAAATAGAGAAACACCACATGGTGTATGTTTATGTGCTTGATCCTTTTTCTTCCAGCTGTTTTCTCACTCAAATCCTGCATCTGCTAAAAAAAATTTATTCCGTGGCTAAAAGTCAGTTTTTTGGCATGAGTAATTTTGAGTGAAAGAATGGCAAGAGATAAAAGGTGAAGCAATCTTTCCCCATTTCTCAACCCTCATATCACTAAATATATATGGCCGCAGGTAATATTACAGCTTTGCCTTCAATGTTTTGCTGGTGTCAGCTACTGTCTTTTCTAGTTTCCCATTGCTTTGGCCAGTGGGACTTTAAAATGAAGGGTAGTCAGGGGGTTAGAGTGAGGGAAGACCAAAAGCAAGGATCTTTAGCAGGATTTTCATTCTAGGGATAATTGTATTCAAAAGATAATTCAAGGGACTCTTTTCAGGTCATGACACCAAGCACAAATGTGAGTTGTGAGTTTTAAAGAAACTCTGTGCAAAGCACTTGCACACAGTTTGCAGGATACTCCATGTGCTTTCTAGAACAGGAGACTGGATGAACCCTTGGCATAAAATTCTTTGCAGCTTGCCCATTTCAGGAATCATACAGCATTGGAAAAGTAGGTTGAGTGCTCCAGAAAAGATAGATTTTGCTCTTTGTTGGACCTATCCCCATGGCACCAAAGGCTGCTGCCATGATATGAAGAGGACGGGGGGGGGGGTTGCTTTCTAGCCTCCAAATGAGCCGCTTTGGGTCCCTTGTTGGGAGAAATGCGGCCTATAAATAAAACTACTACTAATAATAATAATAAATGAGGATCAAGCCAAGACTGTATACTTTACAGCAAAGACATCAGGATGCTTCAAATTTGCCCAGTAACAGTGATATGTTTCTGAAGCACTGAGGGGCCCAAAATGGAATACGTTATAGCAACTGGAAAGGAAAAGAACAGTGGGCTTAAGTAGCTCTTAGGAGTGCCCAGTGGAAGACTGGTATTATCTTGGAAGGAAGTTGGCGGTTAATATGTTATGTACAGGGAAAGAAGAGCTAAAAACCCTGCCAGACTATTCCTTTCTTGTTGGTCTAAACCTTTCATAAGCATAGGTTATCTTTTTAGGGGACTCAAAGGCTAGACTGGAAGACAAGCCTGCAGTCCAAGAGTTCATATCGTCCTGAAAAATGGATATGACATCACTGGCAACACAAGCAACAGAAGGCAAAACCCTGTACATTTCCTGTAAACCAGGGAGTCTTTCTAGTTCTTCATTCACCCCACCCTTGGGGCAGGGATGACGATCAAGCACAACATATCTTCCTGGAAAGCCCAGCACTTCCCCATCAGCTTATATGGCTAAGATCTGCAAGTGCACCTCACACAAACAGGACAAGACTGGGTGGACAGTGACACAGTGGCACAAGAGAAAGGAATGGCATATTAAAAGGGGGGGGGGAGAGAGAGAGGATCAGAAGTTGATGGAAACATGAAATGTCCAGAATTCAAGTGAGCTACTTTTCTTTTCTTGGAGTGAAGCAGTCAAATCCAACTCCAGGCAGTGGGATTTGGATACAAGGGAGAAAGGGGAAATTTGTGCTGGTTGAAGAAGAACAGAAGCCATCTGAATCCAAAAGGCATCATTCTACAGTATCACCAGTTAGAGATGACCCAAGTGCTATGAAGTCACACAGGCTACAGAGGAGCTTGTAGCATTACTATCTGAGGCAGGGACAATGATGTTCTTTCTGGTTGCAGTCAAGGGCAGTTTCAAGGCAGGACTGTTTCCAGAAGACAGGTGTTCCTCATGAACAAGATCCCTAGTTTTCACTCAGCCTCTTTCCTTCTGGAAAGATTTGGCTTTTCTTAAACCCTGTCTTCTGCATCACAGCCGACTTCATCTTCAAAAGTAGAACCATGATGCTTTGCTAATTCATGACCCATCAAGGCCTTCGTTGCCCCAGAACAGCCAAGGAGGCCACCACATTTGCTTTACAAGGGGCCCACCCAGTATTATCCTTCAAAGGAAGAGCAAATCACCAGGAAGTAACCCTGGCAGCTGTGTCAGAGGTGTTCCATGTATGATCCAAAGTTTATCTCTTGAACACCTATGCAGTAAGATCAGCACTGAGTCTTCAGCCACAGGTTCTGTCTGCAGATCTATAGGTTCTCGCCTGGCTGATACTGAGGCTCGGTTGAGGTGAAGTAGTCTTCCAAGAAAGCTTGAAGGTACTCAAAAGTAGGTCTTTCCTCGGGATCCTTCCTCCAACACTGGCACATCAGATCATGCAAAGATTCTGGGCATTCTGGTGGGCAGGGCATCCGGTAGCCTCGTTCCACCTGATCAAGCACTTCCCGGTTCACCATACCTATTGGTATATGAAAGAGAAACAGGGTGTTTATTGGTACTATTAGCAACAGTAGCAGCACTAGCATAGAAGCGAATATACAAGCAGCATTCTTTTGGGTATCAAACTTTATCACATCTCTTAAAATGGCATCTACTGTATAACATGGCCTTCCAATAGTATTATAAGAACAAAATATAGAGGCATTAATGACTTAAAATAAAGGTAAAAGTTCCCCTTGACATTTAGTCCAGTCGTGTCCGACTCTAGGGCACGGTGCTCATCCCCATCTCCAAGCCGCAGAGGCAGCGTTTGTCAGTAGACAGTTTCCGTGGTCACGTGGCCAGCGCGATTAGACACAGAACGGTGGTCTCTATCTACTCGCATTTACATGCTTTCGAACTGCTAGGTTGGCAGGAGCTGGGACAAGTGACAGGAGCTCACTCCATTTGTGGATTCAATCTGACGACTGCTGGTCTTCTGACTTTGCAGCACAGAGGCTTCTGCAGTTTAACCTGCAGCGCCACCACGTCCCACAATGACTTAGCCTCCTGTTAAGTATAGTTTCATTTAAACTACAAGGAGCAATTTAAGTAGCTCTTTTAATTTGTGGCATAAAGCCTGTTCCTCCCCCCTCCCCATGTTCTCCAGATTATTATTTTTTAATTTAACAAATATAGAGCTATAAACTTGCTGAGGATGAGGGCAAGAAATCCTTGGCTAGCTCAGCTCCACAACATGTTTGTAATGTACTGTATGGATGTCTTGACTATGTGGGTGGCTGAGGCTCCACTTCAGCTTCCTCCTGCAAGTCCATCATGATTTCAATTCCATCATGAGTTATTTATTTATTTATTTATTTAATATCCTGCCTATCTGGTCGGTTAGGATCACTCTAGGTGGCTAACAGCATAAAACAGAACAGTAAATAAATATAAAACAATTTTACAAAGAAATAGACATAATAGAATAGACAAATAGAAGGGAGAAAGAGGGTAGCAGGGATTCACTGGAGGGAAGGCCTGCCGAAACATCCATGTTTTAACTTGATTTTTAAAGATACCCAGCGAGGGAGCCACACGGATCTCAGGAGGTAGGTTGTTCCAGAGGTGAGGAGCCACCGCCGAGAAGGCCTGATTTCTTGTCTTTTCCTTCCGGGTCTTCCTCGGCGTTAAGCTCCTCAGCTTCACCTCCTGGTTTGCACGAGTGACACAGATAGATCTTGGTGGGAGAAGGCATTCCGCCAGGTATCGAGGCCCTAAACCGTTTAGGGCTTTGTACGTAAGCATCAACACGTGTGATCAGGATATCGATAATGTGACTGACGTGATGTGGATTTGAACCACCCAGAAAGGAAGGAGGTTGTTGCAGAGGCAACAATGCTGCAACTCTAATGTGTGAACAAGAATTTCAGGAACATGGAGATCTGTAGACGCAGGCGGACTGGGAAAACTCCATTTTCTATGACATGCCTGTGCCGGCCATTGTAGAAGGCCTCATTCTTTCTGTAAATCGCAATTAAAGAGCAAAAGTAAACTAAACCAAATCTCTTTCAGAAGTTATCTGCACACTATGGTGTACAGCTTCCTTTCCTTATGAGCAATCACCATGGTGAACAATATCCTAAACCTGCCAAAGTTCTTCTTTCTTTTCCTTTGATCAATATGTAGAGGAAGGACATTCTGACTTCAGTGGTGAGTGAAACAACACCCTTAAAATAGGTCCCAAATTTCTGTGCATTTCAGGTGTGTCAAAACTAGCATTTTGTTCAAGCACTTAAACACCGACCTACAGGGCTTTACACTCATTTCACACACTAGCAAGGTTATGCTCAAAATCCTACAAGGTAGGCTTCAGCAGTATGTGGACAGAGAACTCCCAGAAGTACAAGCTGGAGTTTGAAGGGGCAGAGGAACTAGAGACCAAATTGTTAACATGCACTGGATTATGGAGAAAGCCAGAGAGTTCCAGAAAAACTTCTACTGCTTCATAGACTAAGCAAAAGCCTTTGATTGTGTGGACCACAACAAACTGTGGCAAGTTCTTAAAGAAATGGAAGTGCCTGACCACCTTATCTATCTCCTGAGAAATCTATATGTGGGACAGGAAGCAACAGTTAGAACTGGATATGGAACAACTGATTGGTTCAAAATTGGGAAAGGAGTACAACAAGGCTGTATATTGTCTTCCAGCTTATTTAACTTATATGCAGACTACATCATGCAAAACTACTCTGATGGCAGAAAGTGAGGAGGAATTAAAGAACCTCGTAATGAGGGTGAAAGAGGAGAGCACCAAAAATGGTCAGAAGCTCAACATCAAAAAAACTAAGATCATGGCTGCTGGTCCCATCACTTCATGGCAAATAGATGGGGAAGATATGGAGGCAGTGACAGATTTTACTTTCTTGGTATCCATGATCACCGCAGATGGTGACAGCAGCCACAAAATCAAAAGATGCCTGCTTCTTGGGAGGAAAGCAGTAGACAGCATCTTTAAAAAGCAGAGATATCACCTTGCCAGCAAAGGTCCACATAGTCAAAGCTATGGTTTTTTCAGTAGCAATGTATGGAACTGAGAGCTGGACCATAAAGAAGCCTGCCGCCGAAGAATTTATGCTTTTGAATTGTGGTGCTGGAGGAGACTCTTGATTGTCCCCTGGACTGCAAAGAGAACAAACCTGTCCATTTTGATGGAAATCAACACTGAGTGTTCACTGGAAGGACAGATCCTGAAGCTGAGGCTCCAATACTTTGGCCATCTCATGAGAAGAGAAAACTCTCTGAAAAAGACCCTGATGTTGGGAAAGTGTGAGGGCAAGAGGAGAAGGGGACGACAGAGGACGAGATGGCTGGACAGTGTCATCGAAGCGACTAACATGAATTTGACCCAACTCCGGGAGGCAGTGGAAGACAGGAGGGCCTGGCGTGCTCTGGTCCATGGGGTCACGAAGAGTCGGACACAACTTAATGACTAAACAACAACAACAGGACTTTAATAAAACTGCAAACAAATGATAAACAAGGCTTTTCTTCTGTCTCCGTGTGGCCACATAAATTAAACAGACCCAAATTCCTCAGTGCAACTTCCCAGTGAGTGTATGTCAGTGAATTTGTATCTCCCTGGCTGTGTAGCCACACCCTAAGTTTGAAAAGAGAATATTACAGACCTTGGAAACCTCATGTCAAAATGCTTCTAAAATGCTTTAAATTAACTTTACAATAACTTGAAAAGTAACCAGAAAACCCAAAGTGTTTCACCAAAGTAAATTTGTACTAGTTGTTAGATTACTTTTGAAATATAACTTGGTTATGCCCTTGTTACTCAGAAAGTAACTTGTTCCAATAATCATATTGTAGGTGACTATATTACTTGAAAGCACATTCGGAGATTTTTTTTGGCCCTGCAGCTTAGGAACAGCTGTGGTTCTTGAAGCCTTGAAAAATAACTAAAACCAGTGTTTGCACAGCTTCTTATAGGATTTAAAACTCAGATGAAAAATAAAACTGGATGAAATTGTGAAGGAACAAAGCTATACAGAAATATAGGAGTTCTTCAACCACAATAACACTGAAACCTTTTATTAATTTTTTTAAAAGACTTTCTTCATTTAAACAGCCAGTGTGTCATATCCCTCATAAATAGCAGCAGCCACAGAAGAGAAAGCTTTTCTCCAGCTAAAGCAAGCAATTTTCTATGTCTAAATCCAGGCATTAGACATCTGATGTCTGTGGCCGTACAGTATGGACCCATGTTGCCATTACAGCATCAAATTAATTTTTGCAGCAGCCATGAGAAGTTTTTCTTTCATTCATGATCTCTCTTGAAAATTGTCTTTCTACTGCAGCATCATCACTCAGAAGAGAGGTACAGTACTACCATGGATACTCCTAAGCCTCCAGAAACTACATTAATCACAGATTGAGAGATATGGCCACTGCTAATGTTCACTAGGAGACCACAGAGGAAACTGGGAACTCTAGCATGACATACTTGGTAGAAAAAAATAAGGGACCATAGGACGTTTCCCCATACTTGGACTGTTTCCTGACAAGGCTTTCATTATGCAATTACAGTGTCTTATTCACAGAGTTTTACTGATTATCCTTCTTTTTGTAAACCTCCCATTGTTTTTCCATCCTTTTTTCCATCTTGCACCTAACCCCAGAAAATCTGTTAAGGACGAAGAGGAGAAATGGGTGCACAAGGTCTTTTGACACGTCACATCTGGAAGCATCCTGAGTCAGACCATTTGCCTATCTCGCCCAGTACCATTCACTCAGCTCTGACTGGCAGCTAATCTCCAGGATCTTTTAAACCTGTTATCTGATCTCAGAGCTCCCAGGAATTGGGCCTATCGGATTCTACACACAAAGCATGTGCTCTTTCAGTGACAACCTCCCCCCCTTTGTAAGCAAATGAGGAGTTCCCTACCACTGGTCTTGTGGGGCCCACGCGGCACTTCTAGCAACTGAACCGCCACTCACCTGGATAGGGCACACGGCCCTTTGTGGCCAGTTCGGTCAGCAATATTCCGAAGGACCATACATCTGACTTAATGGTGAACCGACCATAGAGGGCAGCTTCTGGAGCAGTCCACTTGATAGGAAATTTAGCACCTGAACACAGCAGAGGAAGAAATGAAAAAAAGAAAAGAGAAGGGTCAAAAATTATCATTCCTACATCTTTGAAGTGATTATGCTCCCCAGGGAGGTGTGTCAGAGTTTCAGGAAAAGATTGCATACTTTGAAAAATACATCCAGTATCATATTTTCTTTTCACTTGAAAAACAAGGAAAAATTTTTAAAAAACGAAGTCATTTTCCCCTTCTAAATTTACAAATGTTTGGATTTGTTTTTACTTACAGTATTTCAAATTAAATTACTCAGGCAGGTTTGAAATGGGGGAGGATGATTTTTAAAAAAATACATTTACAAAAGCAAGCCCAATTTAAGAAGATTAAGATATACGTTTTTGGAGAATATACAAAAAGGGAGGAAATTGGGAGTGATGACTTAAGCCTACCACTGTTTCCGTATCTATCACCAGGAACAGCAAAAACACTGCATAGTAGGAAACACCCCATCCGTGGGATCAGTATCGTGGACTCACTTATCTGCTCTCTGAAAATATTAAATAAAAACCCAGAAATATATATTTCTAAGTATTCCCATGATGTAATTACCAGAACTGCCCACTAGAATTTGCCAGAGGCCGTGCCATATATAGGATTCACTATAATCCATGATTTTTGGCATCATGTGGAATGGAGGAGGGCATGGAACCAATTTCTCCTGGATACCAAAGATGTATGGTAATGTGAAATATCCTGAACATTAGATTCTGTGGATCAATAAAGATGCCCTTGGACACTATCTTGATAGCACTTTCTGTATCTGACTCTGCATCATCCACAGATGTTTCCCCCTCTGAAACATTAACCAGTTTGCAGCTGGGAATTTCCTCCCATCAAGTAATATAGGTAGATGCAGTCCTTACCTTGCCTTGCTGTGTATTCATTGTCCTCAATCAGCCTTGCCAATCCAAAGTCTGCTACCTTGCACACCAGGTTTTCTCCCACAAGGATGTTGGCAGCTCGGAGATCTCGGTGAACATAGTTCATCCTCTCCACGTACGCCATGCCAGATGCAATCTGCAACCATCCATGATGCAAAAGACATTCTGAGTTGGCCTGAATTATCATTACATTCAATCAGTTAACAGCTGTAAGACCCCAGTTCAATGACAAAGTTTTATGCAGCCCATAGTCAGGGTAGATTTGGACATCCATTTCATATGCATCCTGTTGTAGTGAAGCCCCTGGGCATCATGGCTGTCTTTCAATGCTTCATCAGATGGTTCCAAGGGGAGAAATGTGCTTGGAGTCAAGTGGCTTTTGGTTCCTTTGAGATGACAACCCATAGAATCATTGGGCACAAATGGGCCAAAAATATCCTTCAGCCAGCATCAAGAGGGAATACTTGCCACACATACCAGTCAATGTTGCACACACTTGAGAGGAAAGTTGGTCAACACTCTATACTGCACAGTACACACAGAAAAAAAAAGAGCAGAAAGAGGATGGATGGCCAAAAAAGAAGGATGACATGGCAAGGAGATCCTACATTGGTTTAAGTTAACAAAATACCAAAATAACCTACAGAACAGTGTTCCCAACCTTGTCAGCTTAACATGTGCTTTGGGGCCATATGTTTCTCAGTGTTCTAGGACTACAACTCCCGGAAATCCTGGCCAGCACAGCTAGCGGTGAAGCCTTCTGGTGGTTTTAGTCCAAGAACATCTGCACTTCTGGGGGTTTTAGTCCAAGAACATCTGCGGACCTAAGATTGGGAACCACTTGTGTACAGAGCCAAGTTATGCCGGACAGCATGTTTCCATCTAGACACTACTGATACTTCCAAATCCAACCCCTAGTCTTCTTGAATGAGAAGGAGAAAAGGAGGGCAAGAGGAAGAGCCTTTTGGCTGAAGAACCTCAGAGACCGGTTTGGATGCAATACCACATCCTTCATCTAGAGCTGCTACACCCAACATCACTACAGTCATGATGCCACCCTGGCTTCAGGAGAATGGGAAGAAGAAGATGGAAGGAAGAAGGAAAAAGAGAATTCCTACTATGTATAAAGTGGAAGTACACTAGCAACTGACATTTTACACTACTAGGAGCATAGTGCTTTTTTGTAAGTACACACTCTACAAGATGGGAATGAGGGTCTTTTTTAATGACAGGAAGGTGGGATTGAATGCTTTCCTTTCTCCTCTCTCAGTGCCATGCATCTTTATGTAGTCTGGTGCTTTGTAAACTTTTCCAAATCAGGTTCAGATGATGGAGAGGCAGGTGGATTTTCTCCTCTTTTCTTCAAGCCTTCTCAGATCCCCACAAAGCACAGAAGCTTGTGAAGGAGCAGCCCGTCCTTCTCACTCTTTCCTGAGCTCTGCAGTTCGGCACATGCTATGAGAAACACACTTCCCAGACAGCGCCTTTGAGGAGGTGAACATTTCCATCCTGTCCTTTCATGCAACTTCAGCTTTTCCCCCTAGCAGCAATCTTCCTGCATCTTGTGGGGCCACTGTGAGATACAGGAAGCTGGACTAGATGGGCTCTTGGCCTGATCCAGCAGGGCTGTTCTTATGTTCTTAGGTTTATCTTAAATAATACAAGGTTGGAACCAACAGCACCATGCAGCTGGGTTGTTAAACAAGATGGGTTCCGCGGGTGTGCTCCACTCACCTGCGCTGCCATGTCCACCAGCTGGGGCAGCCTCAAGTACTTGCCCATCTCCCCTTTCAAGAAATCCAAGAGGCTTCCTAGGATGGAACGTACAGTTGTCAGTAATTAAGGCAGAAGGTAAACTCCCAACTGTGGCAGATGTTTTCCCCCACAGACTGGCAGCTGTTTTAATCTTAGAAAATGACAAAGAAAATACAGTGGTGCCTCGCTTAACGATTGCCTTGCTTAACAAGGAAATCGCTGTACGATTTAAGTTTTTTCGATCGCTTTTGTGATCGCAAAACAATGGTTTAAATTTGTTTTTTTCATTTCATGATGATCGGTTCCCTGCTTCAGGAACTGATTTTCGCTTTACGACGATCAGCAAACAGCTGATCGTCGGGGTTCAAAATGGCTGCCGGCTGAAGAAAATGGCCCCCCACTGTTTTCTAGGACAGATTCCTCACCTTACAGGCACTGAAAATAGCCGCCGTATGGAGGATCTTCGCTGGACAAGCAGGTATTCAGCCCATTGGAACACATTGAACGGTTTTCAATGCATTTCAATGGATTTTTTAATTTTGCTTGACGATGTTTTTGCTCTACAGCACTTTTGCTGGAACGAATTAACATAGTCAAGCGAGGCACCACTGTACTTCAGTCACCTGTAGTAGCATGGCAAACAAATGCTGCACTGCCCATTGGCTGTATGCCAAACAGCCACATAATCTCCTCAGCCCTTACCAAACTGTTGCACAAATCCATCAGTCCCCATTTAAAGCATGCTGGTTTGGTTGTGTAAACTGAGCTTTATGTAATAGCCTGCTGATGAGATCATGTGTCACATGCTTTCTCTCCTAATTTCTATAGCTAGTGGGAAATATGTGGATGTGAGTTGAAGGTTTTCCCCTTAGAGCACTGAATTTTTAGCTTGCCAAACGTTGTACATTTGGCAAAGTTTCATAAGAAAACATTCGCACCAGGGAGCTAAATATGATTTCACCCTTACAGGTGAGAATGAACATTTTAAAATTCTACCCCTTGCCAAGTGAAATTTAAAAAAAGTTTTATTCATTTTTCACCTTTTGGCATTTATTTTGTGAAAAATTTATGGAAGAGTTCTTTATGCAAAAGCTTTGTATTTTGTTGAAAATACAAGGTTTTTAGGCACTATACTTTTTTTGCTACAAAATGCAGGATTTTCTCCCCCAAACATAAGGATTTCCTTTCTAAAACACAAATTTTCCCTTCACATACACAAAATATTTTTTCGGCTACTGCTACTGCTGCTGATAACGGGTAAAAAGCCCTGGTCTTTTTGCCCTCAGGCAGGAATGAAACATTTTGCAACAACTGACAATTTTTTCAACAATCTTTTTCATCAAGGAGAAGAAAATGGGTGTGTACGAGTTGGTTATGTCCCTAATCCACACAAAATCGAATTACATTGGCATGGACAGTACATTGCACACCTTTGCACATATATTCTGTCACAATGTAAATAGGTTCCTCAGAAACCACTGCATACAGTTGCACCAGCTTCTCATGGCGCAGTTTTTTCATGACTTGGGCTTCCTGCAAAAATGCTTCTGGAGACATTGTCCCAGGTTTCAGAGTCTTTATTGCCACTCTTGTGGTGCCATTCCAAGTCCCTGGATTAGAAACAGGAATAGATTAACAGGGCAGCCATTTCACTGAGAAACATATGGTCCCAAAGCCCACTTTACCATGGCAAGAAAACTGTTTAAACAGCAGATCTAGGAAATGATTAAATCTCGACTATCCTATACGGTAACCAACTGGCATCCTTAAGATGTTTTGGACTTTAGTTTCTGTGATCCCTCACTTGGCCATGTTAGCTGAGGTAGCTGTAAGTACTAGGGAAATCAGACATACAGTTTGTATACACACATTACAGGCAAGATATCAGCGGGAGACACAGTCATTGGCAAGTGCTGACCAACTGGAACGGTTATGAAACTGGAGTGTATTTGTTCTCCTTCCCAAATTAGCAGGCACATTCTATTGCCCTCTTGGGTAAAGATTATCAGTTAGCAGGAACTTGAATCACCATGGGTGTTGTTTAAAACATTTTTTTTCTCCCTCACTCCATCAAGAGATGAAGTGTAATGAAGTGTTCAGAAGCAACCTCCTATCCAGTCCAGACTCAAACCAGATCCACCGACATGATATTCTCCCTCGGACAGTTGCAGGAGAAATGCAGGGAACAACAACAGCCACTCTTTGTGGCCTTCATAAATCTCACAAAGGCCTTTGATTTGGTTAGCAAGGACGGCCTTTTTAAAATCCTTCCCAAGATTAGATGTCCACCTCAACTCCTTAACTTCATCAGGTCCTTTCATGAGGAAATGAAGGGCACTGTAGTTTTTGATGGCTCAACATCAGATCCCTTTGACATCCGAAGCAGAGTGAAACAGAGCTGTGTCCTTGCGTCGACCATGTTTGTGAGCTTTTTTGCCATCATGCTGAAGCACGCCTTTAAAACTGCAACAGAAGGTGTCTATCTATGGACTAGATGAGATGGAAAGCTCTTTAATCTCTCTAGATTGACAGCAAAGACCAAAGTCCAGCTGAAATGCATCCGGGACTTCTTCTTTGTCGATGATGCAGCTGTTGTTGCCCACTCTGTTGAAGACCTCCAACAACTCAGGAATCCTTTTAGCAAGGCCTGCCAAGACTTAGGATTAACAATCAGCCTGAAGAAAACACAAGTCGTGGACCGGGTATGGACTCAGCTCCCTCTATTACCATCTCCACACAAGAATTGGAGGTTGTTCATGATTTCGTGTACCTTGGCTCACCAATCTCTGACACCCTCTCCCTAGATGTTGAGCTGGATAAATGCATGGGCAAAGCAGCTACCATGTTCTCTAGGCTCACAAAGGGAGTATGGCTAAATAAGAAAGTGACAGCATATAACAAGATCCAGGTCTATAGAGCCTGTGTCCTGAGCACACTCCTGTACTGCAGTGAGTCCTGGAGATGTGCACGGCAAGAGAGGAAACTGAACACATTCCATATGCGTTGTCTCTGATGCATGTTTTGTATCACCTGGCAGGACAAAGTTCTAAGTAGAGTAGTCCTAGAATGAGCTGGAATGTTTAGCATATATACATTACTGAAACAGTGATGTCTACGTTGGATTCCAAAAGATCTCCTGTATGGATAATTAGTGCAGGGAACTTGCCCCAGAGAGAGACCACAGCTGAGATACAAAGATATCTGCAAGCAGGATCTGAAGGCTTTAGGAATGGACCTCACCAGGTGGGAAACCTTGACATCTAAGTGTTCAGCCTGGAGGCAGGCAGTTCATCATGGCCTCTCCCATTTCAAAGAGGCACTTGTCCAGTGGGCCGAGGCAAAGAGGCCAGAAACCAGCAAAACGAGGGAGCTGGACAGGGGACAGATTATATTTGCCTTCAATGTGGAAGGGATTGTCACTCTCGAATTGGCCTTCTCAGCCACACTAGACACTGTTCCAAGTCCTCCATACACAGCATGATACCATACCACACCAACCCAACAATTGGCACATTATATGCTGGCATAACTAATCAATAGGATCCTGGCTGCTCATTTTAATGGTTCTGCTTCAAGAGACTCAATCTAGAACCAGTTCATAGTCTTTTACACTGGGCAGACATTGGAAAACTCTTGTTTATTGCCTGCAGAAGTCTGTGGCCAGTCTGGAATGAAACTGAATGGTACCTGAACAAGAATAGTCTTGTTCTGTGTAGCTATGTGATGGCAACACAAACTGAACCCCTAGTCCAATAAAATGGAAAGAATGGTTTTGCTTATTATTATTGTCTGGGCTTCCTTCTTTCCTTTTACTCGCACAACCAACTCAAGCAAACTTTTCACTATGAAGCTGTACCAGTGATTGTAACACTGCCTTCAGTTGTTGCCTCAATATGACATCTGTCATGCTTTTGGTGTAAGGTCGTGGGTGGCGTCACATGCAACCCTATTTCCTTCTGTTTTGAATAAGACTGGGCTGTGGATTACTCTGATTTAGACAAGGTGAACTCAACAGTCAACAGCCAAAAATAAATGGCAATTAGTAATCTTTCCCCACATCCAATCTGTCTCCTGAAGTTCAGTTTCCTCCCCAGAACCTCAATGGCTATCAGACCACAATGCATGCTTCTACCTGCTAGAATCCTTACCCATCCACACTTCTCCGAAACAGCCTTGTCCAAGTTTCACCTCTAAGCGCAGTGACTCACGGGGAATTTCCCAAGCATCCTTTGCAAGGCCTTGTGTCTGAGGCTTGCTGGTGGGGCAGACAGTGGTGAGGCGGTGGCACAAGCCATCTGCATGCTCTGGAAAAGGAAAACGTAGAATAAGGAGCAAGAAAGGACTCTTCACATGGACCACCTCTGAGAACATCCTTCTTTGAATACAGTTTGAATCCACTTGAGATGCCATTTCAATATATTCTATGGCTGTCAGGTGCATGTGTGTATGCCTGATATTTATATGCCTTTTCCCCCTCCTAAACTTGGGATTCAAGATGGTTTACAAAACAGTTAAAACTCAATTAGAAAATTAAAATACAAGAGAATTAGAAACATCAAAATAAGATTAAGGTGCAAAGTCAGAAACTTGGGAGCGAAGGATTTTAAAATGTTTATAGCCATAAAAGGCATAAGTTGGTGTCACCAGGCAAAGACTCAGATTCTACTTTGCAGTGAAGAAAATAGATACATCTGGACTTTATCATGTTGTTTAATTTCATTAGGGTAATTCCCTTACATTTGGTTCAAACAACACACTCTTCTGATTTCCTAATGGATACTTTATTTCTTGAAGGTCTCCTCCATTTGAATTATGTGTGTGCATTAAGACACAGAAAGCCGATACAGGAAACAATGCTGTTTTGTGGTAAGAGAATGGTGATGATCTTTAGTTTGTCTGATCCTAGTCCTGATCCTCCATTTCCTCTTAAAATACTCTCCAGACTTCTTTACTTTAGTTCCAAGTATTTTGAATGGGACATCCATATTCTGCAAACAATCCTGCATTAAAAGAAGTTGAACCAAAAAGGACACTTACTGGAGTAATAAGCTACCAGCTGCTGAAGGCTGCTGAACTGTGTGCGGGAAGTGATGTAGAAGCCACCGTTGTCCAACTTGCGAATCTTGTAGTGCTTTACGTTGAGGCCCTTGGCATTGTCAAAATCCGAGACAGAGAGACAATAGGCACCTACCAAGAAACAATGAGCACAGCTCAGAGGTTCTGACTAAGAGATAATAGTGTATATTAAGGCTGACTATCTTCAACATTGTTATCCATTTCTTTGAAGGTTAAGAGGAAATAGCCTCAAAACCTTTCTGCACATACTCCCAGCACACCCTCAGAAATCACACTACCAGATTTAGGTGGCATATCATACTATTAAAATTGGCTGGCGACAGGAAAATCCACCACCCCCCCTTAGGAAGTATTTCACTTCAAACCGCTTGTAGTAGCTTCTTCCAAATTTTGGGCAAAAAAATGACCTACAGCTGGTCCATCTTGCAGAATATAAGAACAAAGTACAGAGAAACCAATACATTAAATCCCACTTTTGTATAGCAATTTAGAATGGGGGAAATGTTGGACCGAACTGGATTTGCAAACAAATGCTGTGATGATCTCTCATGCTAGCATCTGTTGATGACATTTTCATCAAAAAGCAAAGAAAAGCTTGAGATGCTGTAGTCAGCAGGATCGTAACTTCACAGCAGGATTAAGATTGGAGGAAATGCAGAGTGGATACCTTTGAAGAACAAAAAGCAGGCAGCAAGGCCAGGACAGTCTAATTATGGCTTCCAGCTGGATCAGCCTTCACTCTGATCCTATCAAAGCTCACTAGCTAATTTGTGCAGGGTTAACACAGAGCTCAGAGACAGAAGACCTTTGCTGCAACACCTCAGGGGAGAAAAATAGATGCTGGCAGGAAATCTACAGGGAAAAGTGCTTTCCTCCTTCACTGTTAATGTGATGCTCCAATTATAACAGGAAAGTACTGTTGTGGTAACTTGTATGAAATGTCAGCTTTTGAATATTACATGGAAGGCAAGATTTATTGGGCAAGTATTTCTAAAACAAGGAACAGTTTCATTTTTGAGCCATGCTCAGGTCCCAGTTGTTTCTGTCATCCAGAAAAGTCTGGCTGGGGCTAACAACACTGACTGCAATGGAGAACGTGATCTTATTATTTAGTGCCTAAAAGAGATGCAGACCTTTAAAGGGTCAGAGGTCATTAGCAAAACATATTTAGATGCAATGGAGAACGTGATCTTATTATTTAGATGCAGACCCTTGGGGACCTTTAAAGGGTCGGAGGTCATTAGCAAAACATATTTAGGTCCCCTTTGGCTTATGTGATTGAGCATAGTTCACTCAGAGGCTGATTGCATGAACGTTTAGCCCACTGTTCTTGCAGAGACAGGCTGGTTCATTCTTAAAGACGGTGATCAGATGACTCCTTGTATTCTCGAAGGCTTTCACGACTAGGATCTGATGGTTGTTGTGGGTTTTTCGGGCTCTTTGGCTGTGTTCTCAGCATGGACAGAGTTCCTACTCCAGTCCTCTGAAGATGCCAGCCACAGAGACTGGCGAAACGCCAGGAAGAACAACCTTCAGAACATGGCCAAAGAGCCTGAAAAACCCACAACAACCATCGGATGACTCTTTGTTGGCCCCACAGTGGTCTTACTCCTACCTTTGTGGTCAGGGGCTTCTGCTTTTTGATGTAAATAAGACTGCTCTGTTTTGGTTTGTTTCTGGCATGTGCAATTGCTGGAAATGAACCAAAAGCAAGCATACCTGTCAGTTGTCAATATGGTGAAGGAATACAGTGGTGCCTCGCTTAGCGATGTTAATTTGTGCCAAAAAAATCGCTGCTAAGCGATAACATTACTAGGCGAAATAAAAAAAAACCCATAGAAACGCATTAAAACGCTATTAATGCATTCCTATGGGCTTAAAACTCACCGCTGAGCAAAGCTCCTCCATAGCGCCGCCATTTTTGGTGCCTCTAAAGTGAGGAACCCGTGCCTGAAAACAGCAGGCCGGCCATTTTGTTTACCCATCGGCCATTTTTGCAGGGAAGCGATCATCGCAAAGCGAAAATACCCCATAGGGACCATCGCAAAGCAATCGCTTTTGGGATCGCTAAAAATGCGTCGCAAAGCGATTTCATCGCTATACGGAGCGATCGCTATGCGAGGCACCACTGTACACCGAATGGCATACTGAACTTCCTAGTGACTTTATTTAGCCCAATCCAAAACAGGCATGTAGAGAAGCCCTCTTTCTCAAGCCTGGCTTCGTATCTATGTGGATCAGAACCTCAATTTTCAAATAAAGCATGCACATCTTAACAGCTCAAATTTCCAGCGGCCTGAGCGTACAGGGAATCATGGATTACACATTTTTACAATTAGGGAAGAGTAAAGACAGATGTAGTCAAATCCTGAGTCTGCTACAGATATCATAAATATGCCATTTCTTTTGACACATCATAAGTTGAGAGCATACAATTTTTAGTACATTACATTAAACAATATTTTAGGAAGGAATGTTTCATTCTGCAAAAAGTATGTAAAAAGAAAAGCTTGAATATACTGGAAATAAACATGCTAATTAGAGCTGGTAATATCACCACCAGCACCACTACCAAGAACAACAACAAACAATAAGTGCAGTAGCAGTAATAGTAGCAGCACTACATTTTAAGGCATTAAAGCAAAAGCAACAATTTTAGCATTAAGTCAATCGATGCATCTAAGGACTAATGTGTTTTATAAATAGCATTTAAAATATTTTAACATGAATTCAAAATGTCATTTTCAGAATATCAGATGAAACCCTACTGTTTAATGCAAACAGATTAAATTTAAATGTGTTATTTCCAAGCTCTGTGCTAGATAGTCTGTCACTCATGTAATGGCCAAGCATTCCTGGCTATTTCCCATATCTTTTTAAAAAATAAGTATGTGACTTGTTCATGTCAGGTCATGTGCCTAACTTCTGTGAGCTTATGCAAAACTTGTATTAATCCCTTATATATAATTGGAAGTAGGACACAGGCCAACAGACATCTTCAGCTAAATTCTGCACTCAGGTGACTTTGATTGCTGGTAGGCATGTGTTGTAGATACACACTGCATTACCTCTGACTACCATCAACAACTATTCATACACAAACCCAAGTTCAATGAAACTATCCCTGTAAACACAACAAACAGTCCCTAGCAGCAAAGAAAGGAGGGAACAGTCAAGCTCCCTGTTGCTATTGGTTACCCAACTATTCCCAGCTTAGTGACCCAGTTTCAGCATCATTCTCCTGCAAAGAGCACAAGCTCAGGATCAGTGTCTCTGTTTACATTTAAATCCCACCCAGTTCTCCACCAATCAGATCAGAAGAGTGAGGGAAACAGAGAGCGTACTGCCTTTTTGAGAGCATCAACTCTAGACACAATATACAAGCAGGGGATACGGTGGAGATACTGTGGCCATAACAAAAACATACTGCCTTGTGCTAAGGTGCCTTGTGCTTAAGGATTTGAGCATTAAAAGGAGGCCCTTGACAAGGTCCAAAGCTCCAGATCTGAAAGCAGCACTGTCTTAATTGAAGTGACTTCATATGTTATTTACATGTTTCTGCCACTATGTCCTTTAGAAAGCAAATAATGTGTTGCTGTCAGTGTTACTCCTCAAAGATAATTTCTTTCTCCCCTCCCCAACCACCCTCAGGCAAGCTTCCTAAGATAACAACCTAAATGAAATGGTCAGCCCATGACAGTTCTTTTCATGGAGCTGCTGGCTAGCAGTATGAATGTAGAGAAAGTCTCTCTAGAGTAGCAGTTCCCAAATGGTAGGCCATGCTATACATTAGTGGTCCATGACAATATATATATATATATTCAAGAGTTCTGTGAGGTATTATCAACTCATCGAGAGGGTTCCTGCTACATTTTGGAAAGATGCCTTGGTCTGGCTTTACTTGCTTTTAAACAACCTCCACTAAGATGGACAATTTTTGTATGGATTTCTGTAGGTACAATTGGCATTTTAATCACACAGTTGCAGTAGAAATACACGAAAGGTTGCCTGTTGCATCTCTAGAAATAGGTCAAGAAGTACACACAGAATGGGCTTTGCTGGGAAACATAGGTTATGAAATCCCCTGTGGACTGGTAATTCTTACCTCTCATATCTTCTATAACAGAGTCCGGCAATACACGACTCTCCAGATGTTGCTGGACTGCAAATTCCATTATCTCTCAACACTGACTGTGCTGCTTAGAGCTGACAAAGATTTGCATTCCAGCAACATCTGGAGAGATGCATGATTTCAAGAATGATTTATCTCTAGTTTATGTGACGTGCTTTCAACTGGAATTCACACCAAAAAAGTGTGCTTCAAATATCAGACATTTTGGCATTCAGTTTTAGAAGCTGAGAGAATATGCTGTCTCAGCAATAGTTGAAGTGTGTTCTTCTCTTAGACACAATGTAGAAATACTTGTTTTCTTCACCAATGGCCATTACCTTTTGTGGTTTCACTCTCTCTTGCTAGGAATGTTCCACGGGGATTTTCAGGGTTGAGAAGTAACCGTTCCGACTCTCGGCGGGTTATCTTGCCGAAATACCACCTGCAACAGTGAATCAGATATAAGCTTGGAAATATTTCATTCTCCCAAGTTCCTGCAGCCACTGCTAAATGCCTTTAGAATCAGAAAGATCCACAGCTTCTCCTATAAGTACATAACTTCCTGGTGTGGCCGCCTGGGTCTAAGAACTTTGTGTCAAAAGAAAGGAACACTGCGTATTTCTCAACAGCTTCAATATACAAAAGAAAAGGTTGATGCAAAGAGCAAAGAATTAGATTGGCAGCACACACTTTTAAGGTTTCATTCATGGTAAAGGGAGAGAAAAAGAACTGATTTTAAATACTCTGGAAAAGCATACAACATAGCAGGGGTAGCAAGCATGTGGTCTCCTGACCAGAGGTGTTTATAGGCTCCTGCCCTACCAACTACTCTCCTGGCTAAGATTATTATATTTTTGGGGCATAACATGGAGAGTCACTGCATGGCAATGAACACTTAAACAAAGTGGAGGAAATCATTTTTTCAATCTTCACAGTGTTGAAAATAGTTTAAATTATATTTATGTACACATCATATGATCCAGTGACATGCTAAGGCCAAAGGCCTGATTGACCGGGTATGAATATAATTTGATTATCATACTTTTGACTATCATGATTGACTTGGAGTTGAATATATGCACTAACTCTATCTAACCTAAAAGTATTATGCCAAAGAGGAGGCATCGTTACTGTAGCAGTGATGGCTGATTTGTAAATCACCACTTGACATTGCAGGTAATCAAGGGTAAAGTAAGTATGTGTGAACCAGCTCGAAGTCACAAATTATCAGTGAGAGTAATTTGAAGACTTCCATGCCACCCACCCAGTCATTATCATCAAAGAGCAGAAGCATTGCAATTTTTAAAAAAACTGTCTAAAAGATTTCAATTACTCTTCAGCCTGGATGGAGTCTGAGGGTGCGACATAGTTACTGGGGATGTAGCCTTTCTGACCAGTGGTGAGAGAGTGGGCCAGCCACCAATCTCCTTCCCTGGAAAATACAAAAACAACAAGAAAAAACACAAAGGTATGTATGTATCAGTGGAAGTAAACACAGGATATAACATCTTTCCAATTGATTGGTTTTCCCAGTATCTCACAATCATTCTGGGCTAGTTCCTCCTATCTCGACGATTACGGCCACATTGTATTTTTTGACGCTTACTGAAAAATTTGTATTTTTTTCTCTTCTCCAGCCCACACACATAATATTGGGCTTTGTAATGATGAAGTTCGACAGCAGACAGTAGTGGACAGCAGTGGACATAATGTTAGTATGGAATGAAGTCACCAGCATGAGTGGGTTAAATATGAACAGGCTTTGCAAAAGACCTTTTCTGTTCCCCAACGCTTAGCTCCGTACTAGTTTTCTGCATCTACAAAATGGGCAAAGAAAAGCAGTGCATCTATACAGTGGTGCCTCGCTTAACAGTGATAATCCGTTCCAGGAAAATCGTCGTTAAGGGAAAACATGGTAAAGAAAAAAAAACATTGAAACGCATTGAAACCCCTTCAATGCGTTCCAATGGGGTCAAAACTCACCGTCCAGCGAAGATCCTCCATAGGGCAGCTGTTTTCGCTGCCTGTCTTGCGAGGAATCCATCCCAGAAAACAGCGGGGAGCCATTTTGTTTACCCGGTGGCCATTTTGAAACCGCCGATCAGCTGTTTTAAAATCATTGTTTTGCAAAGAATCGGTTCCTGAAGCAGGGAACCGATCATCGCAAAGCGAAATTCCTCCATTTAGACCATCGTTTTGCGATCGCAATTGCAAAAGATCGTAAAAGATCATCGTAATGCAGTTTCATCATAATGCGGGGCAATCGTAATGCGAGGCACCACTGTATAGAGAGAGGAACTGCATTATTTTGTAAGCCCTCTTTTATTAAAAATAGGTAGATCTTCTCAGAGCCAGATCTAGTATGCAGGAAGGATGTCAGAAAAATTAGAGCTATGAACATTCCTATGCAAACCAACCTGATTTACATCTCTTGGAACAATGTATGAATGGATAAAGAGCTATCCACTTTAAAAATGTGAAATTAAAATGTTATGAAGCCATCTTAGCCAATGGAATGCATCAAAATATATTTTCAAATGCATATTTTGAGGTGATATGAGTATTTAAATATGTAGTAAAGCACATATTTAGATAACATTTTGAGAAGACTTTGTTTAATGCTGATTAATACAAAAACTGAGCATAATGGAATTAAGGGTAGAAACAATGCCAAAGCAAAAGGGACTGGAAAAGGCAGTATCGCCATTTCCAGCTTGCAAGCCACCAGGTGACCATCCTAGCTTAGACAAAGAGAAAACTGTCAATTAAATACAAATATACCCTCCTAACAAGCACAGTTTGGAGACAGATTAGGTAAATGAATGCATGATTTATGTAATATATTCCAACAAAAGAACACAGGATTCCTTTGTGGTGAGTTCTTCAGCCCATGACTGTGGGGTATGCTGGTAATTAGAGTAACTCAAGCAAATAAGGTGGTCCCCATGGCAACTGAACACTGTCATTATCAGAGATTCTACAGCTGGCACCTTATTAGTTTGGTTAAGCGACACATAACACAGTGTCCTTTTAAGTAAGCAGCTACCTTACTTAAAAAGGCATGTCAAGTACCAATTGAAAATACCTTTGAAGCCCTTTGAATCTGAACCAGATCTGGTTGCTGAATGAAGCATTGGAAATCCAAGAAAGCAGAGGTGGGAATGGGGAGGAAACAGGCATACACACAAACAAACAAAGAAAGAAAAATAGTGATAATAAAAAAGGGGAATACACAGCCCCAAAGCAAAGTTTTAAATACAAAACGGTATAAGGCTAGGAACAAAATATTAAAGCACAGACATACAGCCTGGGTGTTGGAATAAGTGATGAAGGCAAAATTATATCCCAATAAAGGACACAAACATGCTTTATCAGAAACCAGTAAAAGAAGGCCATTGAATTGAATAAGCTCAGCCATATAAAAACAGAAAAGGCAATGCATTTCAACCGAAGCAGCTTCTGTTGGCAGGAGGATTATGTACTCTTCTGGGCTGCAAGGGACTCTTCATTGAGTAGAATGTAACAGAAGTGAAATTGCAAATATGTAATGAACAAAGCTTTATTTAATCACTTTGGACTTGGCAGGTGCAGGCATAATAGACCACTTAGTCAGCAATCAACACATGATTTCTTTATTTATTTATTTATTTCATTTATATCCCGCCTATCTAGTCGGTTGACCACTCTAGGCGGCTCACAACAGAGGGGACAACGATAATAAAAACCATTTTACAAAGAGAGAACTTTCAACAATTGGATAAAACACGAGGGGAGAAAAGGAAAGAGGAGTCAGGAATGATGAAAAACTTGCAGGATCATACACTCCCTTTGTTGCTGCCCCTTCCCAGAGCATGCCACACTGCATGCTTGAAAAACTTGCCTTTTAAAAAATAGAGGTGCCAGTATCAACTAAGACTAGGGGATTCTGGGGCTTGTATCCCAAACAACATTTCAAACCTCTGGCCCCATTCCTTCCTGGCAAAAACATCGGCACCAACACTGATTGTCAGTAAAGCAACTTCCTTTGGCCACAGTGAAGGAAACATTGGATTGGTTGTTGTAGGTTTTTCGGGCTGTTTGGCCGTGTTCTGGAGGTTTTTCTTCCTAACGTTTTGCCAGTCTCCATGGCTGGCATCTTCAGAGGACAGGAGTTACAACTCTGTGTTCACAGACAGATCGTGGCTGTGAAAGCCTTCGAGAAAACATTGGATTTTTTTTGTGTGTGTGTGTGTGTGGGGGACTTTTCTTGACTTGACTATTGAAGTCGCAGGAGTTTATGAGAAGGTCAATACTGGCTGGAGACAGTTCCATAGTAAATTTCTAAATCCAAACCCACCAGGCCAGAGGGACTTTTCTTGACTTGACTTGACCATTGGAGTCGCAGGAGTTTATGAGAAGGTCACTCAGTCGGTCAAATTTTATTGAAGAAGTCTACAGACCATTTCATCAAGCATTCACCATATATAATGAGAAGGTCAAATAAGAGATCTGAGTTGAGCTAATCCCTTTTGAAGAAATGCTACCTCACCTATTTTGACTTCTTTTTACACCCCAGGATTAGTCAGGCAGCACATGATTGTATACCAAACTGATTTCAGTAGCAGCAAGATCAGATTCTTAAAAAACACTTCAGTGAATTGGCTAAGAGGGGCTTCAAGCCACCAGCTCCATCTCTCAAGTCAATCACTCAGCTGGAGATGACATCAAATCACATGAAGTTGCTGTCTCTCCTAGAAGATGCTGTGCAAAGCACCTTATACTTCATTAGTGTAAAAGAGAGGGCAGGTGCTTCCAGGATAGGCTTTTATTGTGCAATTGCCCTGCCCAATTCACAGAATTTTCTTGAGTTTCTAGACTATACTGCCTCCCATCTGTAATGTTTCTGTGTTTCCCCACTGCAAAAATACAACACACCAACAACACTGTAATTCCAGTAAAAGCAATACATTTCTCAGCTTTTCCAGGCAGACTCCTATTGTATATCATAGAAAGCAATACATTTCTCAGCTTTTCCAGGCAAACTCCTATTGTATATCATAGGTGTGGTACTATGAGTATGAGTGCAACACATCCAAAGGCTAAATAGGTCATAGGTGAGGAATGCAATCAGGACTCCCCCAAGCTTGCATTCTTCTCTCCTCTCTGGGTGACCAAACCCTAGAAGCATTCCCGGAATGACCAGGTGGCTTGGAATGCCTTTATCTTGTGCAACTCAGAAAAGCTACCCTTTGGAAAATGGCTGCGGGTGGCAGAACTTTAGCCTATCTCTGAACAGAAAAATGCCTGAGAAAATTACAACATGGTCATCCCAAATCAAGTGTTGATCTCATGCTTTCCAACAGCTTGGGAAGTTTTACTGACTATGCTGGTGCAGAGTTAAAGTTCTGAAAAGCCAGCCTTTCCAAACCCTGAATCAATCCTGTGTAATTGCCTTGAAAGAAAGAAAGAAAGAAAGAAAGAAAGAAGAAAGAAAGAAAGAAAGAAAGAAAGAAAGAAAGAAAGAAAGAAAGAAAGAAAGAAAGAAAGAAAGAAAGAAAGAAAGAAAGAAAGAAAGAAAGAAAGAAAGAAAGAAAGAAAGAAAGAAACTTCTACAATATATTGATTCAATTCACATCAACAGTTAAAACTTCAGACTCTTATGTTCTTTCCATCACCAGTTAAAATGTAATCTACTGTGAAAAGATTGGCTTATTAATCATGCCAATACTTCAGTTAATAGAGTACAAGGAAACTAGATCCACTCCTATGGGAGTGATGAACTTTCTGGAGAATGACAAGCAAAATAAGATGGTGTGCCTAGAGAGACCAGCCTATTAAGGCTTCTCAGATACACCAGTGTGAACACATTTGCGCATGCGCATATGTATACACACACACAGCATGTTGCCTAAGGGAATTCTTGTAATTGGGGCAAGTGTAGGGAAAAATGCCAGAGAATGATGGAAAAGTGATTTCCTAAGGAGGCTGCAAAAATATTCTGGATATCGGAAAGCAGTAATACTTCATTCTCTCTTTCTGTGATATTTCAGCCTCTCTCTGTCTAATTTACTGTGACCGCAGGGGAAAAGTAAGCTTAAAAAAAAAAGCCCACCTGAATTTTCTTCCAAGGCTTTCTCAAGAGGGTTAATCAAAAGATTATAAACTTTTCAGAACAACTCTTTCATGAGAAAAAGTAACTTAGCGGAAGCTGAAATCATGAACGGCAAATCTGTCAGAAGCGAAAAGAACAGGGTTCAAAACTCTGCTCAGCAACTGGGAAACTCTGAACCCGTTGTGTTCTCTCTCATTTCAAATTATCTGACAGAATTGCTGTAAGAATTAAAGAATCTTCTTGGAGAAATATGGGCTACAAACATGGATAGATTTATGCAGATACATTAAAAAATCTCACTGGTTCCCTAATCTCGGTCTATAGGAACATTTTTGAGGGAT